AGAAAATTCAACGACGACAATATACTTAAAAAGTAATATTACAACAAAGAATTAAATCAATATATATAAATAATTGATTCAAACATAATCAAAGAGCTAATTCATTCAATAGAAAAAGTATGACTAAATCCATAAACAGAATAAATTCTATGATTATTCGGAGAAAAAAACATCAACAATAAATTGAAAAAGATAAATCAAAAGAGTTGTACAAATTAAAAATCAAATGCATAAATTAAAAATAAATAAAATATCATCTACTGTGTAAGTTCATCCCTTGTTCTACCTAAAAATTTAGTTACCCATAAATATAAGAATAACAAAAATCTCCTAAAAAAATAGAACAAACCAACGGCTATCTGAAATTTTTTTGCTCCAAAATTGCATCTTCGTTCCCAACCAGAACAGCCGCCTCCCTGCTTTCTGTTTTTCTCCAGCCGCCACACGCCAAGGAAAAAGAAGAAAAAAAAACACAGCTGCCCAGGCCAAAAGAAAAGGCGCAAGTTTTAAAATTCAAACCCTTTTCTTGAAAAAAATCACACTACAACAAAAATCGTTTTTTTTTGATGATTTTTTTTGTCGCTAAATTAAAAAAAATCTTCGCCAATTATTGTTTGCGATGTTTTTTTTGTGTTGCGTGTTAGTCGCTATAACCTCGTCGCATAAAGTATTTTACGACGAAAATTAATTTTTATTGCAAAAACAAATTTTTTGCGATGAAAACAAAACGTCGTTAAAAGTGAAAAAACGTAGCTAAAATCTATTCCACCAGCATAAAAAAATTTAAAATAATAATTTAATTAATTTTTTGACTTAAATAAATCGTCGCAAATACGTTTTTCATAAATAAAAATGTTAAAAATATTAATTAAATTAATTTTTCGTGACGTAAATAAATCGTCGCAAATAATATTTTACATAAATAAAAAATATTAAAAATTAATAATTTAATTAATTTTTTGCGACGGAAAAAAATCGTAGCGAATAATTTTTACATAAATAAAAAAAGAGAAAAATAATAATTTAATTAATTGTTAGCGACATAACAAAACCGTCACTAATAATTTTTACATAAATTAACAATGTAAAAAATAATAATTTAATTAATTTTTCGCGACATAAAAAAAATCGTCGCAAATATTTTTTTAATAAAAAAATGTAAACAATAATTTAATTAATTTTTTGCGACATAAAAAAAATCGTCGCAAATAATTTTTAATTAAAAAATGTAAAAAATAATTGAAAAAGGTTGGTACTGCATTTTTTCGCGACGATTTTTTATTTCATCACCAAAAAGTTTGATTTTTTTTTGATTTTACATAAAAAATGATTTTCCAATAAAATTTTTCACCTGTACACCAATAATACATGTGTTCAATAAAAACTAACACAATTAATACTTTTAACTTCTTTTTTAAAAAAAATAAAATTTTATTTCCAAAAAGAATGAATTACAAGAATCAAAGAACGAGAAGTCCTAAAAATAGAAAAAATGGCTTTAGTCTTTCAAGAGGATTTAAACCATCTCTAATTACATTTAATGTCTCTTAAACTTGAACAGCTCTAGCAATTCAGCTCCATGCTTTGAAATATCTTCTCCAAGCTCAACACTATCCGGTATCTACATAATCAAACTGACCACCACACACCACCTTCCTCCTCCGAGCAATAGGGATCATGGACTGATCCTGATGCAAAACCAACCATCCATCCAGTGGCAAAATACCACTTTCTGAAAAATTAATGAAAACAGAATAAGTGTATTGAAAGAGAGAGGTAGCATTTACAATGAAAACAAGCGTTGATAAAGTAGTGTGGATAAACTAAGAGAAAAATCAGTGCAGTGGCCTTTGCAGTGCTAGCCAGTATCACAATTTCAGAACTGAGCAACTTACCTCAACAACCTNGCATTCTTGGGCAAGGTGATCTACCCCGCATGATTAGTCGCGTGTGTTGGTTTTAAGTCCTTAGTCTTTAACATATCTAGTTCCCCAGTGAGCATTTCAACCTTAGCCTTTAGGCTANAAGGTGATCTACCCCGCATGATTAGCCGCGTGTGTTGGTTTTAAGTCCTTAGTCTTTAACATATCTAGTTCCCCAGTGAGCATTTCAACCTTAGCCTTTAGGCTATCATCTTCCCTAAAATGGTAAATTTCACCACCATTTGGGTTTCCCGTAGTTCGTGACCTATCCTTGCTTTTAGTAGCACTAGGTTCAGTCCAAGTGTGAGCTTTTTCAGCAAGCTAATTAAGATATTCTATGGTCTCATCAAGATCTTTTTGTAAGAACTCACCATTACACATCATCTCCNCAGTTCGTGACCTATCCTTGCTTTTAGTAGCACTAGGTTCAGTCCAAGTGTGAGCTTTTTCAGCAAGCTCATTAAGATATTCTATGGTCTCATCAAGATCTTTTTGTAAGAACTCACTATTACACATCATCTCCACAAATTGGTGCTCTCTAGGTGTAAGTTCCTCATAAAAATAGCTCACTAAGCACCAATTCTCATACCCATGGTGAGGACACACACTCAACAACTCCTTAAATCTCTCCCAAGATTGATACAAAGTATCACTGTCCTTTTGTACAAAAGTGGAGATTTTCCTTTTTAAAGCGTTGGTTTTATATTGAAAAAAATATTTATTAAAGAACACTTGAGTTATCTCACTCCATGACCCAAGAGATTGTGGNGGTGGAGATTTTCCTTTTTAAAGTGTTGGTTTTATGTTGAAAAAAATATTTATTAAAGAACACTTGAGTTATCTCACTCCATGACCCAAGAGATTGTGGTCTCAACGAGTATAGCCAACTTTTAGCTCTATCCTTCAAAGAGAAAGGAAAGAACTTAAGTCTCACAACATTATCAAGTGCAATTTGATTATGAAAAGTCGCAACTACTTCCTCAAACCTCCTAATATGCACATATGAATTTTCATTTTCCAAGCCATGAAAATTAGGGAGTGACTATATCATCCCTGTTTTAAAATGTAGTTGGCAAGTATTAGCTGGAAACATGATGCATGATGGTGTGACTGTGCATGTAGGGTGGAGGTAATCATAAAGAGTTTTAATGGGTTGATCTTCGTGTTCACCCATTTCTTTGGGACTTGATGTATTGTCAAATAAAGGATTTAAAAAATCTGATTCTAACTCTACCACATGTCTACTAGCAAATCTACCCATGGTATCCCTATATCTGTGCGTGCAAGGCAATGGAATACTAAAAGAATAAAAATATTATAAAAAAAGAAGAAAAATAATAATAATAATGACAATACAACCAGCTAAAAGAAGAAACGAAGTTATCGCTTTTGCAACTGTTGAAAAGAAAGACTATCTAGCAATTCTTCTACCGTCTTCCTGACAACGGCGCCAAAATTTGATTACGCCCAAAGAATAACGTGGTAGTTGTAGCATAGCTTTGAAGTGTCGATTCTACAGAAAGACAAATNGAAGAAAAATAATAATAATAATGACAATACAACCAGCTAAAAGAAAAAACGAAGTCATCGCTTTTGCAACTGTTGAAAAGAAAGACTATCTAGCAATTCTTCTACCGTCTTCCTGACAACGGCGCCAAAATTTGATTACGCCCAAAGAATAACGTGGTAGTTGTAGCATAGCTTTGAAGTGTCGATTCTACAGAAAGACAAATTAAAAGAATAGTAGAAGAAACAAAGAAATTAAAAAAAAATATTTAATGATTACCGGAAAACAAAGATTAATTTTAAATGCAAATTAAAATGAAGCAAAGTGACTAACGGAAAAAGTACTCAAATTTGATAAACAATAAAATGTCGGGAATCCCTTACGCAAATCTGGTATTTTAATTANGAAAAAAATTTAATGATTACCGGAGAACAAAAATTAATTTTAAATGCAAATTAAAATGAAGCAAAGTGACTAACGGAAAAAGTACTCAAATTTGATAAACAATAAAATGTCGGGAATCCCTTACGCAAATCTGGTATTTTAATTATTCTTAATTCATTAAATAACTCAATTGAGAATTTAATTCCCAAAATTTCCAACCAGAAGATATAGATTTATAAACCAAGATTAAACCAAATGTAATCCTTTGAAAAATTATTCACCACTTTTAAAATACGTAAATTAATATCACTATTGAGAAAATTCAACGACGACAATATACTTAAAAAGTAATATTACAACAAAGAATTAAATCAATATATATAAATAATTGATTCAAACATAATCAAAGAGCTAATTCATTCAATAGAAAAAGTATGACTAAATCCATAAACAGAATAAATTCTATGATTATTCGGAGAAAAAAACATCAACAATAAATTGAAAAAGATAAATCAAAAGAGTTGTACAAATTAAAAATCAAATGCATAAATTAAAAATAAATAAAATATCATCTACTGTGTAAGTTCATCCCTTGTTCTACCTAAAAATTTAGTTACCCATAAATATAAGAATAACAAAAATCTCCTAAAAAAATAGAACAAACCAACGGCTATCTGAAATTTTTTTGCTCCAAAATTGCATCTTCGTTCCCAACCAGAACAGCCGCCTCCCTGCTTTCTGTTTTTCTCCAGCCGCCACACGCCAAGGAAAAAGAAGAAAAAAAAACACAGCTGCCCAGGCCAAAAGAAAAGGCGCAAGTTTTAAAATTCAAACCCTTTTCTTGAAAAAAATCACACTACAACAAAAATCGTTTTTTTTTGACGATTTTTTTTGTCGCTAAATTAAAAAAAATCTTCGCCAATTATTGTTTGCGATGTTTTTTTTGTGTTGCGTGTTAGTCGCTATAACCTCGTCGCATAAAGTATTTTACGACGCAAATTTATTTTTATNCAAATCAAAATAATTAAAGTGCTGAATAAAGGATAAAGGTAATGAAAAATTTATAATTAAACTACTATGTCCATTCAATCAGACGACATACTCTTGTAAATGACTCTCCCAGTAAATCTGCTGCCAGTCATATGTCACTTCATAATATTCTTCACCTTCTTTTGCCAACCAATCAACTAGTTGAACCCGCCTAACAAGCTAGGCCAACGTGACTTGTATAATGCCCTCCATGCTATCTCAAAGTTCAAACATCTGCATAAACATTAGATCTACACTAAGTATTATCTCACTGTCTATTTTTCCTTATATATATAACAAAGGAAATATTTTTTTTTTTGTAGATCACATCAACGGTCCAAACCTTTTATGTTTTCTCTGATTCTCGAAGCAATCATTGGTGGATTCATAGTCATTCCAATTACTGAATGACCTGCAAGAAGAAGATGCACATAAACATCTATGAGTATTTAAAAATTTTGACATGCCATCTTTTCAGTTGCTGCTGAACCATATGACATGCAAAGCTGAACAAGCTGCCAAGTTAGCTACAGCTGTTAGGAAGCATCCTCAAATGCATTCATGAAATTGACCTCCTCATGCACATCTTGATCCTTTTTTTAAATTAAAAAACTTACATATTGACCGGTTCTGACTACAAATTACAAAATCATTGACTAAACTGCAAAAGCATCAATATTCTAAATTTCAAAATCTAGAATTAGCTTAAACAAAGAAAAATGACACCAAAGAAAATAATTGAGCCCACAAAACTGATACAAGACACTCAAAACTGATACATCTAACATGAGCAATTTTGTCTTGAGGATCGATTCATGAAATTGAACTTATATTTTGCTTCCTACTATACCATTTGTACATGTACGAGGTCAATATTCTATTCATAAATATCGAATTAGTATAGGATCAGCCAAACAGATCATACCTACCTGAACCTCACCCAGATCAAACATTACAAAATTCACTCATCATCTTCACCTTTTGACTTCTTTTTCTTTTTCTTCTCACCTTCAGTAGCAACTGGAAGTGAACAATTTTCAATAATTTGAACGGAGATAGCAGTGAGGTTTTTGTTTTTGTTTTTTTTGGCTCAGCGGTGAGGTATTTTTCAAAATATTAAAAAGAGAATACATTATATGTTCTCTGAAATTTCTGATAAATTCAACGAACAAATTTCCTACCTTATGAATCCGAAGCAACTTCACTCGAAACACCGAAGATTTTTTCTTTTCACTCGCACATTTGAATCCAAAGAAACTTTGATCAATCACCAAGGTGGCAACTTCGATCAATCACCAAGGTGACAACTTCGATCAATCACCAAGCATCTTCACTCGATACACTGAAACATCACAAAAAAATTAAGCCAGAAAAGTGGCAAAAAAGATAAGGGAGAACCAAAAGAGAGCACCTGAATTCCAGTTGTGAATCCAGCTGAAATGAACTGGTAAACCAGCAAAGGATGAGCAGAAACCAGACAAAATCCAAAAAATAGCAAAACAGAAGGCATCAGCAGCAACAGGCAGACTATTCACGTGAAAAGTCACGGGAACAGTGCACAACATAGCACAAAGGAGAAAAAGAAGCCCAATAGCATAACACAACACCATTCCAGTCAAAACAGAACACTGTAGCACCAAGCCAGCACCTCCAATAGCAGGAAAACCAAATTGAAGAAGAGGAAGTCTGCTACAACTTTAGAATTGATCACTCAAGTGCAGGTTGTGCGAAGTAATAAATTTCTCGGGAGTCCGAGGTCGAATCACAGGGAATTGGAAAAACAAGAAATACAAAACAAATAAAAAGTAAACTTGTAAGAACAATTTATTTAAGAGATTGTTGAGTTGAGAAAATATTGATTCGAGTAATTAAAACATTATAATAAAAATACTAGAGCATCAGGTACTCCCTCTCAATTCCATACAATAATGATTAAGGACTCAAAACTTAACTTGGAACAAGAATCAGATGTCGGTTGATTCGAATAACAAATCAAGTAAGAAAATCAAAAGTTATAATCAAAAAATTATTTAGGAACCTGAATAATCATCCAATTATATTATTTTATGAAATAATAATAATTACCTCAAGAATGGAATAACCAGTTATTTACTCGCAGGGAAATTCAAGCAATCAATGTACAGGACATAACAACTCAAGGATTTTTACAGAGTAAAAACTTTGTTATAAGATCAGAAGTTAAATTAACAAAATATCATAAATCATTAAAATCATAATCAATAACATTACCGTACTTCATTGAGAGGTTCTCCCCTAGCCCTAGCTTAGCCTTTTAGCCAGACATGACAAAACTAAAACTAAAAAAGAAAAGATGGGAAAAGAATAATCCCCTAAATCCTAGATGAGATCAGGAATTATCTCCTAAGTTCTAGATGAGAACCCTTATATATACTAAAAATAAATTCTAAGGGTAAGTAGAAGATATAATGTTGTCTTGGAAGGAATTCCTTTCCAAAAAGAAATCTTGTAAGGTTAAATTCCGTGAATAAAATCTTTGGGGCGGGTACAAAATCTGTCTAGACTTCGAGCTTAAACTTCGCATATTTAGAGGCTGAATTACGAAATTTTCGTGAAAAACACTTTTACAGCCCTTGGAGTCTTCGTTCCAGCCCCCAAAAATCAAGTAAATTGGATATCGGAGACAAAAGTTATGACCAAAATACTGAAGACGTGTCAAATCCTTATTCTCCTAGGATACTTTTCTAATCCAACTTTAAATGAGTTTTCTTTCGTCTTGGACTCTTAAAAGGATTAAATTGCTATCATATCTTCAAATTTTCATATTCAATCTTGACTCTTCAATCCTTATCAATTGCGATTCTTCCTCTAGTGATTGATTCACTTGCATTATCCATTATTATTTTAAATCAACCAATTTACCTGCAAAATAAATCAAACAACTAGAAAAAGTATAAAACTAAAAAATCAAGGAATTCAAAACATTTAATCATAAATAATATATAATTAACCAATCATTAAATATAAAAAAATAGTAATTTTGATGGTTAATCAAAGGCCAACAAGGGTTGACTTTAACCCTTCAACATGAAAAATACCTTTGAAGTCAGAACCAAGTAGGAACTTTCACCAACCAGCTGGAAATACCCTGCCCCAGAACCACCACCCCAGAAGCACATCACGCACTGCATCCAAACTGATATTGAACCAAGGAAGCCATTTAAAACTGCCCAGAACACCAAGCAGCACATGCACCTCCACAACATCCACACCACCTCCCAATCCCTTGACAGTGCACACAAGCAAAAGAGGGGATGACTCGCAAGGAGGAATAGGCAAGACAATCCCAAAACTACAATCCCTAACAGCATGACCCCCAAACCACAGCAAAACACATGCACCATAGCACACAGCCACATAGCAACAAACTGACAACACAGAAGCACCCAGCTAGGAAAGGCACCAACAGCCAACCTCAAGCCAATGAGCACAACCAAAAGGACAGAGAAGCACAACAAGTGACACCAGAGGCACACCTCACCAAACATAACAGAAAAGCCCTGACATTACACAGGATTCCTCCTCCCAACTGAACTCAGACAATAAAATATCTCACTGCCCAGCACCCTAAGCAGCACCGGCACAACCTCATTAATCACAATATCATCCAACCCCATGTCTGTTATCACATACACTCATCTTCTTCAATCTTACAAAAGGCATCATACCTTGGTCCTGCTAAAGAAGTACTATTCCAGCAGTGGGCAGTTTCCCATTTTCAGAAAGCACCTCTTATTGTAACATACTAACAAAAAAATAACAATTAAAAATAAAGTGAATATCATATAATCTTCTCATATTGTAACGTAAGCAACCAAATGATCAGCAAAAATGCTACGCAATTTAACAGACTAATAAACAAAATGAGAAACAGAGGAGTACTTACATTAACTGACCATGGATAACGAGAATGCTTACAGAGTTGAAATTTTTCCATATCAAAGTCTCTAACTCCACAATCATTATTGGAGGCTATAAAATGAACTGCCTGACCCATTAAGAATGCAATCAGTAATGTCTAAAGATATTTCATCATGGTCTAGTCCACATGCAGAATGCAGATTGAACATTTTTGATAAGATGTAGTAAGGGACATCACATAATAAATGGGCTACCCCAAAACTACAATGTCACCTAAGTATTTTGTAGCAGTTTTCTTATGCAGCATTTCCTACATCAACATGAAACACCAATAAGAAAATGCAGTGAATGAGAAACACTGCCACAAAGTGAAACTGTTAGTCAGCTGCCTTGCCACGCACGCAAGTCAATATGTGATAGCCTTGATAGCTTTCAAAAATGGCAGAACAAGATTGTCTTCACAAGTTCAATTCATCTGGTACAAAAAAAGGAAAAAAATACATTAATAAATTATCAATCAAATTTTTAAAAAACATACAGGTTTTTTAAATCTTAAGTGTTGAAATTTGTAGTTGTTCTTCGTTCACTTTCACAGCAAACGGAGTTGAAACGAGTCGATTGGCCCCCTTAGCTCCAAGTTTTAGTTTTTATACTTTTTTACGTGTTGAACATAAAACGATAGTAAAAAGACACTAACTAAGACTCAGGTGACATGTCTACATTAGTTGAGGTGCCCTGTAGAGCACGTTGCATTTGGAGTTGCATCTGCAAAAGTTATTGCATCATCTATTGCTGCGCGTCTTCAAACTTCTCCTTCCAATCTTTCGTTTTATCACGTTCCTTCTGAAGAGAATCAATAGTTGCTCACAACTCTTTTATCATATCAGCTTGTTCTCGATACTCAGTAATGGATTTGAATAACTGAGTAGAGAATGAAGGTTTCGGGCCATGTCCAAATCCTTTCTTATATCCAGGTTGGCTGCGAAGGACTAGGCATGCAATTTCATCCTGTGTCAATGGCTCTACACCCTCTTCTAAGTTCTACGTGCACAATTCTTTCATCTGCTCCTACAATTTAATGTATTTAAACCCAATTTGTGAGTGTATCATAAAAATTTATTTAAAAAAAATATAATTTAAAGACAATTTGAAATACTTACATATCTTGACTCTGCCTTAGAAGAAACCCACTCACCCTTCTTGTTCACATGAGAATCGTGAAAAAAATCAACAATGTGGGGTGGCTCATCAGTCGTAGGGTCCCTCTGTTACAGTTAATCAAAATATCAATATTCAAAATTATGAATTTCCTATATATTTTTATTTAGCAAGCAAATGCTAAAGTATCACACCCATTCATATAGGGCAGACTGAAAGGACTTTAAACCTATCGAGTGGTTGTATGGCAACTTGGCACGATTTTTCGCATTTTTCTTAGATTTTTCCTATATACAAAGAACATAATTAGTACACAATTGAGAATAAAAAGTGGATATTAATTTGCATAGCTTATAAAAGTTACTTGAAATTTTTGGTCCTTGTAAAGTGTTTAAATTATGTACTCTTAATCCTCTTGACTCACATTACCATATGACTTGCTCTTTGGGTCAACACCGGACTCAACCAACTCCTTATAGTGCATATGCATATGGTATCTGTGGTTCCTGTACCTCGTTGCAAATTTTTTGTCGATGGACTTCCTAACACCAATTTTTTCACAATAGTCTCTAATGTTAAACTTTGTCTACAACAAAATATAAATATGCAAATTATTTACAACATGTTGTAACACTACGCAAATACATATATTGTTGAAAACCAAACAAATATATCCACTAACCAACAAACGTGCAATGGTGGTGTCTTCTCCTCTTCAGTTATTTGTTTTCATTTATAGGCATTTCTGATAGGGGCAAAAGTCCTCGCCAGGGAGCCAATCTCAGTCATCACCTTCGAAGAATGTACACCCACTGGAACACCGACTCCATCAGGAATCAAAACATCTAGCGGGCCATGAGCTGCACGAAGACGCTCAACATTTTTCCCCTTAGACGGTCCTCGACCTCGTTTCTTTGCAGTAGAAGCTGCAGCGCAAACATTAATAACAGATGTTAGCCAACCATATTAAGAAAACTACATTTAAAAAATAAAGTATGCATCAAACCTGTACCGCTAGCCTCAGTGCCTGCAAAAGGCTGTGATGTAGGTGGATTTGATGACATAGCCCTAACATGTGTACTCGATGCACCCCTAGTAGGTGCATCAGAGGATACAACCTTGTTATTGTGGTGGCTCGGCTACTTGGTCCCATGTATATACAACACCTGAAATATATAAATATATAAGTTATATCGACAATATCCAAATATTAACATTATATATAAGCCATAATTTATTAATTACCATGAAAATATCTTAATAATTCATCTACATATCTGACTCTTCATCAGATTCAAAATGGGAATGTACATCATCATCTTCTTCTGAATCGACATACTCTACTTGTGACTCATCATTGTCATCACATATGAAATCATCAATGTTATTGTCTTCTCTGCTTCCCCAATGGACAATCCGGTCTCGAGGAATGATTTCTGGATCAAGATCAGTCCTATGAAGTTGACCTATTTCGTTATCTTCGACCACTATAGGAGCAACCTCTGTTGATTCATCTTGTTGGAATGCATCACTTGGAACATACGATATTTTGTGGTAGTACAAACCACTTTGTGTGTATGTGGCTGTAAGTGAAACTATGTAATCTTGTTGATAATGATCTCAAGGATTCATCTTTAAAGGATTGGTTTTGAGAGGCTATCTCAATTTTACGAAATTAACCAGATTTTTTTTTTTGACTATGAACGCTTTCTTGTAGTCCAGTGGTATCATTTGTCTCATTTTTGTTTTTTTGGCAACCTAGCATTTTCCCTGGGATATTCGAATCCTTGACTTAAGACTTGTTAAAACACTTAAAAAGTGGTTTGTACTACCACTAGACTAAACATTTGGGGTTGTAGTATCATCTGTCATCTAGAAGGGTACTTGGAGGTAGGTTTGAGACTATTAGGAAGCCTGATTAATTATTGGGTTGGGAAAAAAATACCAAAACAACAAATAGTGGAAAGGATAAACTCACTGGTGGTGAACTGGAGTCGCCGAGAGAAAGAGAGAGATGGAAACTCGCTGCCGATGGACTGGACTGGATTCCTGGAAGCTGGACTCAGTTGGTGGTGGAGGCTGTGAATATCGCTGCTGCCCGGTCTGGAAATCGATTAAGGCACCACCAAAAAAGTGAACCCCGCTGCTGCTCGCTACTGCCTGTTGCTCACTGGTGGATGATGTATTGGAGTAACAGAGTCAATCGTCGGTGGTGGAGGTTGAGCTCAGACGTTGGTGGTGGAGGTGGAGGTTGTGCTCAGTGCTTCAGTCACTGGTGTTTGGTTTGGTTTGGTGGATTGATTTAGGGCAAAGCCGCAAAACAAAAGGGGGAAACAAAAATACATAAAATGGGCAAAGGATGTAAAAAATCTCAGATTATTTACGTTAAAAAATTATTGGCGACGTATTCTTAAACACGTCGGGAAAATTTAATTAGATTATTATTTTTTAAATTTTTTATTTACGAAAAAATTATTAAATGTCGCAAAAAATTAATTCAATTATTATTTTATAAATTTTTTATTTATATAAAAAATTATTAGCGACGCCTTTTTGAAAATGTCACGAAAATATACCTAAATTATTCGAGGAATCTAGATGGCCGAATCTAGATTGTATTCGAGGAAACGTCATATCTACCTAACTAATGCTTGAGACACTGGGAACAAAGTGAGCATCGATCAATATGGTTGCAGTCAAAGCAATTGCAGGGAGATACAATTGTCACATATGGCGTTGACCCTTGTACAAAGGTAGGTGTGGGCAGCTTATAGGGTACCCTACCTAGCCGAGTACCTGTGCCAACCCTACAGTACACACAAGAAACTAGTCTGAGATAGATATATTTGCTGGCATGAGAGCATTCACTATCTCTACCTACCCATGAGATCATTTATTATCTCCACCTACCTAAAATAGCATTTACTATCTTCAACCACCCCAGAAATATTTTGCCTAGTAATTAATTTTGATAATTAATAGGCAGTTCGAGTCATTCAAATAAAGAATTCGGTGAAGGGAGTTTTATTGGATTCATCTCTACAAACTCCTTGCATTTATTTATAAGCAGCCACCTGATACAAAGATAAGTCAGATCTTATCTCCTAATTATATTCAATATAATCTTCCTATCATATTAACCGAATCATATCTTTGATATTTATCCATTTGGATGAATGGTGTCATTAATTCTTATCATTATCACTTTCATAACATCCACTCATCTTACTCAACAGTTCGAGCACATTGACATTATACATGAGTGACCCATTACCAACCCTTCCATCACAGTTGCTCCTAGAGTTGGTAGTAGCCAACTTCATCAAGCCTAAAACCATTTTAACTTTCTACCTAAAAAAAGTAAGATGAAGGTCCAATAAGAGTTAAAATCTGATCGGCGTTAACGGTTTTAATGAAAAAAGAGTTTGTGTTTAACTTTGTAAAACTAAATGAATAAAGTTCAATCCAGAGCCAACTAGAAAGCCTAATGTACACGCATATCAAACCTAGAATTCAAACTTCAAACCCAATAGGCCCCCCTCCCTCCCAGCTCATTCCCACAATCTTCCACCTCCCACCTGAACCCTGCAGCCCCTCCCCAACCCACATCCCCCGCACCACCCACCTCTCTCTCCAATGCCCCACATGCACCACCATTGGATGTGTTAGGGTTTTAAGTAGTAGTGTTTGTGCAGGGCTCAGGGGCGACTCAAGCCAATTTAAGGCCTAAAGCGGAGATATTAAATGAAAGTCTTTTTATTTTTAATATTATTTTTAAAAAAAAATTAATTAATTTTAATTTTTTTATGCGAGAGGGAGACAAAAGAAAGATGTGCTAATATTGTTGAAAAAGAAATTTTAACTTTTGTTTTTATTTTTTACCACAGAGAGAGAGTGTTTAATTTCAACTTTTATTTTAAATTTTTTATTTTTTTTACCAGAGAGAGAGAGAGAGAGAGAGAGAGAGAGAGAGAGAGAGAGTAGGTGAGAGTAAATATGAGTTGACTTTTGAATATTTTTTTTTTCTATNTACCGGAGAGAGAGAGAGAGAGAGAGTAGGTGAGAGTAAATATGAGTTGACTTTTGAATATTTTTTTTTTTTCTAATTTCTAAGTTTTTAATATTATGGATTGCATTATAGGCCTAAATTATTGCTATAAAAATTTTAATTTAATTTAATTTTTTAGGGTTTTTTGGTGGGACTTAAAATTTAATGGATTTAAAACCCATGTTTATTTTTTTTTCATACTGTTAGACCAGCCCGGGCAGGGCTGTAATGCTACGGGAGTGGTGTGGGTTGAATTTGGTATCCGTAGTTTGATGGGAGTGGTGTAAGCAAAATGTATCATCAGATGAAGACACATTACAATAACATCTTTTAATTAAAAAGCCAATCAAGCTATTCAAACATTGACATGTCCAACTCTTTTACATAAGAATAGTTCATAAGTCTAAATGTCTTATTCGTATGTATTGAGAGAGAAATACATATCAGCATCTATGTAGGTTTTCACATCTCTTTCTTCTGTTTCTTTTTCTTTCATAATGTACAAACTCGAGTATCGCACGAGAAATCGGTACTAAGATTGCATGTGGAAGGTCAATTCATTCAATTTTCTTTCCTCATTTTATAATCAACCCAAAATCTTTTTCCAATGGCTGAGTCAAACCTTTAGTAATTTAAAATTTTCAGGTTCAATTCATTTCTACACCCTCAAAAGCTAAGTTCAACGGAGTAGTTAGCGCAATCTAAAATACTCTGTTTGCACAACGGAGTAGTAAGTGCAATCCTAAACAGTGCAATTTAGGTCAGTCGTTGAGTTGAGTAGTCAGCACAATCTTAAACACTCTGTTTGTACAAAAAAGAAAAAAAGATGTCTACCGCACCCAAAAAACAATTGGCATCATATTGTCATTTACAAGTTTTATAGTTTATTTTTTTGCAAAGTTTGAAGGTTATTTATAATTTTTAGGGTCATTTATAATTTTTGGGGGAACATTTACAACTTTTGAAGGTAATGTATAAGTTTTGAGAATTATTTACAACTTTGAGGGTACATAGGATCAATGGCAAACAATCCTCAAAAAGTTGTAAATGACTTCCAAAAATTATAACTATCTATAATTCTATAATATAAAACAGAGCATACTTTAATAAACTCAATTGATGGTCTCAAAAAAATTCATCCAACGGTCACCAACATCACTCTCAAAACTATTTACATTGAATTCTCCCCCTCCTCCGCCAAATCCATCAGTTCTCAATATTTTTGTACCGTACTTTCAAAAACAAATTACCCCTAGTAAAAGTTATAAAATGATCCCAAAAGTTATAAATATTATCTATTGTAAACAAACTCAAAAACTTTTAGTTTATTCCCATAAACCTTGTTAACTTTGGCAATACGATATCAAAATATTTTTTTTAATACCGTAGTCTTCTCCACAAAAATATACACTATGACACATAAATTGATAAAATAAGTTTTAGCCGTTGACCCGCATGCATCTTGCATAAAAGTAATTCTATTAAGATTTAAAAATCTGACTTGATTTGTTAAGTGACGTGTTAAGTGCCAATAAAAAAATNCCGCATACATCTTGCATAAAAGTAATTCTATTAAGATTTAAAAATCTGACTTGATTTGTTAAGTGACGTGTTAAGTGCCAATAAAAAAATTACAATTAAATTTATAATAATTCTATTGAATATACCATTAACAAAATATTAAGTCAACAAATTAAATTAAATTTTAGATTCAAATTACATTGCTCCTTTCGTAATTATAAAGATGATTGAGTGGGTTTCCCCTTTCCCACTATTCCGTACCTCTTGCACTAGGAAATATTGATACTAATATAAGGAGAAAATATTCATTACAACGGTGATATCACGTGGCAAGGTGATGTGATATCACCAACTAATTAATAATACTAAAACAAATAAGCACATGAAAGACGGGGAGCCTTGGCAGAGGAGGCATTTACTTCCAAAGATCCAGACAAGATCGATGGGGCTCCTTCTGGGTCTGCCAGCTACNGGCAAGGTGATGTGATATCACCAACTAATTAATAATACTAAAACAAATAAGCACATGAAAGACGGGAGCCTTGGCAGAGGAGGCATTTACTTCCAAAGATCCAGACAAGATCGATGGGGCTCCTTCTGGGTCTGCCAGCTACCAAGCCATTAATGAAGGTGGGTCACTCCAATCTCTCACCAAAACATCACTAGGCAGTGAACAAAAAGATACTCCAAACCCACCAGCTATGCCATTAACTAGATGGACGAATGAAGTTATTAGAAATATGATTCCCTTCGCTATTTCAACCACAGTTGATGTTGAGATAGAGGACCACCACAGCAACCAAGAGTTCCCAAGTCTTCCTACCTCTAACAATATTAGGAAATCTTCCCCTGTTCCTACGGGTGGTAGTCCTTCCAATGGGTAGAATCCAAGCAAGCATGGGAGTGGTCCACAAACTAAGCTCACACTTGCCAAGCCATGGAGTCAAGTTNCCGCTATTTCAACCACAGTTGATGTTGAGATAGAGGACCACCGCAGCAACCAAGAGTTCCCAACTCTTCCTACCTGTAACAATATTAGGAAATCTTCCCCTGTTCCTACGGGTGGTAGTCCTTGCAATGGGTAGAATCCAAGAAAGCATGGGAGTGGTCCACAAACTAAGCTCACACTTGCCAAGCCATGGAGTCAAGTTGTAAAGCAGAATGCAATGGAAAAATCCAACTCTCCTCACCAACACCCTTCTGAGGTAATGAACCTTCAATACTTCGAACCCAAAAAAGAGAAGAATAGAATCATTGTGCATCCCCCCATGGAAGTTGTCTCTAAGGGCTGTCATGAGTGGAGGAACTGCATCGTTGGTTACTTCATAGAGAAAAAACTCCCCTTTACATCTGTTAGCTTTATAGCTCACAACATTTGGGGGCGATATGGGCCTTCTTGAGGTTTATGCAAATGAAAGTGGGTTCTATTTTTTTAAGTTCATGGATGATGAGTCTAGAACCAAGTTTGTGAAGCTAGCCCTTGGCTTTTTTCTAGAAGGCCACTCATCCTCAAAAAATGGCATCCTAATCTCATTCTAACCAAAGAAAACCACTCTTTAATTCCACTATGGATTAAGTTGCATAACATCCCCCTCCAATTTTGGAGTAATGATGGGCTAAGCTATCTTGCTAGTGCAGTTGGCAAACCGCTTTATGCTGACACCATCACTGCAAAGAAGAGGAGATTAANGATGATGGGCTAAGCTATCTTGCTAGTGCAGTTGGCAAACCGCTTTATGCTGACACTATCACTGCAAAGAAGAGGAGATTAAGTTACACAAGATTATGTGTTGAGGTGAATGCTGCTGAAAAACTAGTTGAGAGTTTTGACCTCCTCATNCAAGATTATGTGTTGAGGTGAATGCTGCTGAAAAACTAGTTGAGAGTTTTGACCTCCTCATGGACATCCAGGGGAAAACTGAAACAATAGAGATCAAGGTGGAGTACCAATAGAGACCTAAAATTTGTCACAACTGTCGCATCTTTCGTCACAATGAGCCAACTTGTCCCAAACAAAGAACTATGGAAAGCTGGAAGCCCAAACCAGCTCCTTTACAGGCTAGCTCAAATTTGGTAGATAAGGGGTAGACATCTGCAACTATGAATGGGTTAGAGCAGCAAGAGGTAGTTTTTTCTCAAGCAGAGGATATGATGGAATCTCGCCAAGCTTCTTCCTCGGTTACTATCAAGAATAACATTGGACCGGTTATCCAAGCTGGCGCATCTACCTCTTCTCAACAGGATATCTTGGGTCATGACCACCATATTACTAAGATAACAGTCAATGAGAGCAGTTCTCCTCAACTGCTCATGCAACCTGGTGTCACTTTATCATCTAACAAATTTGAGGAGCTCAACAAGGAGGGGGGACAAATTGTGGTTGACTTAAGAGCGGAGCTTGAGCCTGAAACAAACATACCAAATGAAGTAACTGAGGAAGTCCGTAAGGAGGAGGTACGAACCAAGGCTAAACTTCAACAAATGCCAAACAAAAAGAAGAAAGGGAAGAAGAAAGACCCAAAGTCCAAGGTGGTTGAGCACCTCTTGCTCAAACAAATCCAACCCCCTCAATGAATTGTGCATGTTAGAACATTAGAGGTCTTAATGAAACTTCTAAACATGGGGAGGTTAGGAAAATTATTTTTGAACAGAAGCTTGATATTTTGGGGCTTGTTGAAACAAAGGTGAAATTTGTAAATAAAAATAGAATCATACAGGGGGTCTTTAGAGATTGAAATTGGCTAGCAAACTATGATAGTCACAATTTTGGAAGGATATGGATTGGGTGGAACCAAGTTAATGTGGAGCTTAGTAAGTTCTTTGAGTCTGACCAAGTTGTCTATTGCAAGATCAAGCATCTTGAGAGCATGGTGCAATTTACTGCCTCTTTTGTCTATGGCTTTAATGATGATAGAGAAAGAAGACCATTACGGAGCAACCTTATCTACCATGCGAGAATCTTCTCAAATGAACCTTGGGTGGTATTAGGTGATTTTAATGCTATTAGGAGTTTACAGGAAAATGAAGGGGGACAGAATAGATGGAATTCAGAAATGGAAGAATTTGACAGAAGCTTACAGGATTCCGAGCTTATTGATCTCAGGTACTCAAGAATTCAATTTACCTGGCGTAATAAGAGGGGTGGTCATGGATGTGTGGCTGGTAAGCTGGATAGAGTCCTTGTGAATGAAAGGTGGAATCTTACATTTCAGCAAGCTATGGTAGATTTTTTACATCTTGGTGTTTTTGATCATAGTCTTGCTGTTGTGCATTTGGGACTGCAAGTGGAAAGGAGAAACAACCCTTTTAAATTTTTTAACTTCCTTGCCGAGAGAGAGGATTTCTTAGACTTGGTGAATCAGNACTTGTGAATGAAAGGTGGAATCTTACATTTCAGCAAGCTATGGTAGATTTTTTACATCTTGGTGTTTCTGATCATAGTCTTGCTGTTGTGCATTTGGGACTGCAAGTGGAAAGAAGAAACAACCCTTTTAAATTTTTTAACTTCCTTGCCGAGAGAGAGGATTTCTTAGACTTGGTGAATCAGGTTTGGTCACAGCCTATTCAAGGGATGTTTCAGTATCATGTTTGCTGCAAATTTAAACTTCTCAAGACAATGTTTAAAGAGATGATCAAGAATATTGGGGAAGTTACAGTTAGAGCCAAAGAAGCCAAGGAAGCTTTGGAGAGATGTCAAAGAATGCTGGATGGAAACCCAAGTGATCCTGCCATGAATCAAGAAGAACAACAACTCCTTGCAAATTACATTCAAGATGCTAAGATTGAGGAGGGATTTTACAAACAAAAATCAAGGGTCCAATGGCTAAGCGAAGGAGACAAGAATACATCGTTCTTCCATATGACTATGGCTAATAAAAGGAACATGAAAAAGATTTTGGCTCTTATAAGAGCTGATGGTACAAGAGTTGAGGGGGATCAAGCAGTGAAAGTTGAGGCTCTGGATTACTTTCAAAAGCTCCTTGGACATTCCTCCTATTCAAATGAGAGTAGAGATATGTTGCAACCTATTATCCAAAACAGAGTTAATGAACAACAAGCCGTTGAAATGGAGAGGGAAGTCACTGAGGAGGAAATTAAGAAAGTTTTTTTCTCCTTCAATGACCAAAAAGCCCTAGGTCCTGATGGGTTCAATGCTGTGTTTTTTAAAAGGGCTTGGAATATCATAGAGAAAGACATTGTTGCTGCTGTGAAGGAATTTTTTTCAACTGGAAGGTTATTGAAGGAGTTTAACAGTACTATCATTACTTTAGTTCCCAAGGTTCCCAATCCTACAACTATGGGGGACTACAAACCTATTTCATGTTGCAATGTCATGTATAAAGCAATATCCAAGATTATTGCCAATAGGATTAAAAGTTCTCTTTCCAGTCTTATAAACCCAAACCAAGCAGCCTTTGTCCATGGAAGAAAGATTGGAGACAACATCCTTCTCACTCAAGAGTTAATGAGGGATTACCATAAAAGTAAAGGGTCCCCTAGATGTGCTTTAAAGGTGGATTTGAGGAAAGCTTATGACACACTTGACTGGACTTTTCTGTTTGAAGCATTGGAGGCTCTTAATTTCCCTTACACCATAAGGAGATGGATTCAAGAATGTGTTACATCGGCTAGATTCTCAGTGAATATCAATGGTGGGCTTGTTGGATATTTCCCCAGTAGGAGGGATTTAAGACAGGGTGACCTTATGTCCCCTTACCTTTTTGTTATTGCAATGGAGTGTTTATCTCTTCTTATCCAGTTCAACATTAGTTCAAATCCAAGCTTCAAGTTCCATTGGAGGTGTAAAACTCTCAATTGCCAGCTGTCATTTGCTGATGACTTGATGATGTTCTGCTATGGTGACTTGAACTCTGCTTCTGTGATTAAGAACTCTTTGAACCAGTTTAGTGTGGCTTCAGGGCTTCAGATTAATGTAGGAAAGAGTAATATTTTCATGTGTGCTATTAATGAAGATACTGCTCATCATATCAAGAATTTGTTTGGTGTTGAGGAAGGGAACCTGCCTATCAAATATTTATGTGCGCCACTCATCTCATCTGGTTTGAAGTATCAACACTGCTCTAGTCTTTTTGAGAAGGAGGATTCAAGAGTTAAGTCTTGGGTCAATCGATCACTTTCATATGCGGGTAGAGTTCAGCTTGTCATATCCATTATCTACAGCTTGCACATCTTCTGGGCCTCTCATTTGAGTCTTTCACAGAAGGTTACTCATAGAATTGAATAGACCCTGAGATCTTATATTTGGAAAGGTACTGATCTTAGTCATACAGGTGCAAAGGTCTCTTGGAAAGAGGTATGTAAACCTAAAGAAGAAGGAGGGCCTGGTATCAAAAGGTTGAGGGATTGGAATAGAGCACTGCTTATGAGGCACCTGTGGCAACTTTTTAATGACAAGGAGAATTTATGGACTCAGTGGATCCATGCCTATTACATCAAAGGGAGAATCATTTGGGACCTCAAAGCCACTCAAGCATGCTCTTGGAATTGGAGGAACTTGCTTAAACTTAGAGAATTGCTCAGGCCATATATTATCCATAGGGTTGGAAATGGGGAATCTACTAGCTTGTGGCTAGATAACTGGCACCCACTGGGTCCACTCCTCCAAAGAAGCAACCCTAGGATATTGCTGGAATCTAGAATTCCAAGGAACGCGAAGGTTAGCAGGATTATTTTGAACAACCAATGGAATTGGACAATTGTTACTTCCATCCAAGTGCAGGAAATCATTAATGCATTGCCAAGCTATCTTCCTGACCAAGATATGGAGGACTCAGTCAAGTGGACTCTTACTGCGGGGGGTAAATTTTCTGTTAATTCTGCCTGGGAACATATCAAGAGTGAAGGTCCAACCGTGCAATGGCACAAGTTTGTTTGGTATGGTAAAGCTATCCCTAGAATGATCTTCATCCTCTGGCTTGCAATTAGACGTAAGCTGAGCACCAAGGACAGAATTCAAAGATTTGCAGCTCAGATCGACCCACAATGTGTTCTATGTAGGAGAGCTGAAGAAACACATAACCATTTGCTTTTTGAATGCAATTTCTCTAACAGGGTTTGGAATGGTGTTATGCTTCTGAGCAACCAACAGTGGCAGCAAAGACAATGGACTGATTTAATTTCTTGGGCTGCTCAACAGTGGAGAGGAAAATCAATGAAGACAACTATTTTAAAGTTTTGTCTTTCTATGACTGTTTATTCTTTGTGGACTAAGAGGAATGAGAGAATTTTCAAAAAACAGAGCAGAGACCCAAATTCTCTTCTTCAATCCATCAAGCACACCATTAGAGAAAGGCTCATGTCCTTGAAATTCAAGAGAACTCAACATAATGCAATTCTACTGCAACAATGGAACCTTCCTGAAGCTTGTTTGAGCTGAGCTGTCTTGGGTTGCCCAATGTTTTCTTTGTTTGCTGCCCACTGTTACAAGGTGTTGTGTTTTCTTCCCTCTGTTATAGTGTAGCTGTGCCTTCTTCCCATGGTTGCAGTGCTCCACTGCACTTCTCTGTGTTCTCTATGGTCTTCTTTGTTTTTGGTCACCTGGTGAGGATTTATGTCTTTTTTCTGGCCCTTTTGCTGTTTGGGGTTGTTGATTGCTGGTTGTGACTACTGGTCTGTTTGCCTTGGTTGTGCTGCTGCATTTGTTGTGTTGGGATGTTGTGGTGCTGATCTCCATCTATATCACTGCAATTGGAGTAGTTATGGCCCTATTGGAACCAAGTTTTAAACTTCATTTCTCACTGCTATGCCTGCTACAACTGCAGTCCTTTGCTGTTTGTTGGTCATTTGGTGAGGATTTTGATGGATATTCATGCTCAGGGCCTGCTAGCTTGTGCATTCATCCCCCAGTTGCTTTGTTTTTGGGATGTTGTTGGTGTATTGCTTTTGATCCTTGCACTTGTGTTTTGTATTTCGGGGGAAGTGTTGACCCAAGGTCTACACTTCCTTCAAAATTCAGCTCACTGGTGTCTGTTTTTGTGTTGCTCAGGCTTTGTATCACTATTGATTGTATATTTGTAGTGGTGTTATGATATATACTTTTACCTTCCAAGAGAAAAAAAAATGTCGTGGAGTTGATCCCTCAAATTAATTCAAAGGCAGGATCAACAAGGCCTGCTGGGGTTTTTCCAGCTGGGAATCTCATTGCTTGGTTTCTCTCAGATGGGGTCCTGCGTTCTTGCTTGGTAATTTAGGCAACTGTGGGGTTCTTGGTTTATTTTTATTGCAGCTGTGGGGAATTTTCAGCTGCTTGTTTTGCTGTTTTGGGCAAGAGTGCACTGTTCACGCAACTCTTCACGTGAACAGCTTTGTTGTTGCTGCTGCTGTTGGTTTTCTCTCAGCTGGCATTTCAGCTGGACTCTTAGTTGTGTTTTCACTGCTCTTTTGCGCCTTCAGCTGGGACATGTTCAGCTGTTTTTGGCAAGCTTTGGAGGTTGCTGCTGCAGCTGGTTTTGTCAGCGGTTCTCTAGGCCTTCTTCCTCGATTTTTTTAGCTGTTCTCCACTTGATTTTTGCTGCACTTTCAGGCCTGTTATTTTGAATCTCTTATGGAATGTTTCTGGGATCTTCACATGCAGATTTGTGGATTGCTTCAAAAAAAAAAAAAAAATTGGCTCACATTTTGCTTGCTGTTTTGTGGTCCTTGGTGCTGCTTTACTTGTGCAATTGCTTGCAATTGGCTTGCTTATGGGTCCTGTACAAATTGTGGGAGATACTGTTCTCAGTGTTAAGGGGCAGAAATGGTCCTATTTTTGTCTGCTTTGTTACCAATGTATACTTTTGTTAACAATTCTGCTCTTACTCAGGGCATCTCTTACAGACTTATATTTTGGAGCCTTGGCTTTTTGGGATTTTGTTGTTTGTCTTTGAGCCCTACATGGCTTCACTGTACAAATTGTGGGTGATTACCTTTGTTTATCTGAGTTATTTTAATACATTTTACTTTCCAAAAAAAAAAAACATGTTATGTAAACGGATAACTTTTCACCCTCCTGTCATGTAAGTTCAAATGGGATTCACCTTTCCCATTTAGGGTTTTATTATTGGTAGGTGATACCATATCATCAATGGTGACGTGGTATCACTGTTGTAAGAGAGAGAGAGAAAGTAAGAGAGGGAAGAGTGACAAGTGAGAGAGAAAGGAGTGATGAGTGAGAGGAAGTTGAGAGTCTGAGACCAGATGAGAAAGGAGTGAGAGAGAAATCTAAGAGTGATAGAGGCACAAGGGTGAAAACGTAAAGTGAAGTGAAAGTCTGTACTATGAAGAGTGAAAATCTGTACTATGAAGAGTGAGATTTGCACGTTCCTAATTCCTTGCCAGCTGATATTAACTTTGTTGCATATATTATGGTTCATTTGACAGATGTATTATGAGGAAATTAAATATTAAATTATATTATTTTTTATTTAATTGAGTCTAATACTTTATTTGATAAACAAATTTGATATCGCATTAATTTTTAAAATGTATATTAATCCTATATTTTGTGAATAATAGACCTATATTATGAAAATCTTTCAATACTTATATTGTATATCGTCAAACATTAGATAAAATTACATATTATTTTAATATTATATTTAATCTTATTTTTTATCCATATGTATTAACTTAATTAGTATGTGTTTGTTTTATATATAAACTCAATGACCCGTTGTCATCATTTTCATGCCAGCAATCAAATGAACCGTAATATATACATAAATTGGAGAACTCGTGTTTTCTTGTCCAACACGTGAAGGACTTTGGGGAAATAGGTTTTTGACTTTTCAAAGCTAGGTTCCTTTCTCCATTATCAAGGATGTTTATGCTAGCAAGGATATTTGTTTCTACGGTCTACCACAAATTGGAGAACTCAAGTTTTTTTGTCCAACGCGTTAAGGACTTTGGGGAAAAGACTTTTGACTTTTCAAAGCTAGGTTCCTTTCTCTATAATCATGGATGTTTATGCTAGTAAGGATATTTGTTTCTACGGTCTACCACAAATTGGGGAAAAGGACTTTTGACTTTACAAAGCCATGAATTGATAAAGTTTCGGTCTTCAGCGGCATGCGGAGTGATGATGTCCACAAGTTTTTACCATTTGTCAATATTGGAATAGTGCTTGTGATTGTTCTCTATTTTATGTTGCTCTATATTGTCGTTGTGTTTAGTTCATAGACGGTAAACTTGATTGTTAAGTCAAATCATGTAAATTTTTTATATTTTATTTTTTTGTATTATTATTTTTCTTGTGGTTTTGATTCATAACATTATATTTTTATAATCAACTATTATGAATAAATGACTCCAAATTTACCCCGCATGTCAGTTACAATGTACATAAACAAGTTGGGAAACTTTCATTGTATAACTTTAAAATTAGAGTCGTATCTGCCCATCTGATTCGGCAGTAAACAATTCATTTAAACCTCTTTCCTGTAAACTGGAGCTACTTCATGCCGAGAGAGAGAGAGAGAGAGAGAGAATGGGTTCCACTAGTTTGACAGAGAAGCCTCATGCAGTGTGCATACCATACCCAGCTCAAGGCCACATAAACCCCATGCTGAAGCTAGCAAAACTCCTCCATCACAAAGGCTTTCATGTCACCTTTGTAAACACCGAGTTCAGCCACAGACGCCTCCTGAAATGCGGAGGTCCTGATTCACTCAACGGCCTGTCTTCGTTCCGATTCGAAACCATTCCCGATGGCCTTCCTCCATCAGATGATTCAGATCCTGATGCCACCCGAGACATCATCGCTCTTTGTGAGTCCATCACAAACCACTGCTTGGCTCCATTCAGAGACCTCCTTTTCAAACTTAATGAAACCTCGTCGTCAAGGGTGCCTCCAGTTACTTGTATAATTGCTGATGCTACCATGACCTTCACACTTGCAGCAGCCAAAGAACTGGGCATCCCTGGAGTTCTCTTCTTCCTCGCCAGTGCTTGTAGCTTCCTGGCTTGCATGCAATATCAGAAACTCATCGAAGAGGGTTATACACCACTCAAAGGTATTAATTAACTACTAACCAACTTCATATGTACATATGCATCGACATCCTTAGCATTATGCATCTATTTTTTTGGGAAAGTAAAATAAATTCATTATTACAAAATTACATGTACATGTATAGAAACAATCTGTTTGTCAAACAGACCAAAAACAAAAGAAGGGGACAAACACCTGAATTGCTATAAGTTCTGCATTGTCACAGAACTTATGGCAATTCAGAGCATTCATGATGGAAGATCAAAGGTTCCAATGCTGGAGAAAAGTAATATTCCGGGTGGATTGTTTGAAGTTGGCGGTGAGAAGTTTACTACTAATACCATGAAGGATGGACTTCAAAATGGTAGTTGCATCCCTGAATTCATTCTTGAAGACTCTGGCATTTCTTTCTCCCCAAATCGTATATACAGAACTGGAAAGGCTGAGCTTGAGCACAATGGATTTGAGGGATTTTCCTTTCCACTGGTTGGAGGCTAAGTGGATAACTGGTAACCAATATGGGTGGAACCAAGAGGCCATAGAATGGCTAAGCACCTTGTTCCATATTTCACTTGTCAAAGGCATTCAAAAAACAAATGATTGATGCTTTCCTCTGTTAGTCTATAAAACACACATGTCGTATTAATGTTTTGCACATAAGTCTTGATTTGATCCTTCGTTCCAAGCTGCCCATGAATAGCAATCTAGAGAACAAAAGACATATTAGGGATGTATTGAGGATACCATACAAGCATGTGCCAAGGAACCTTAGGACTAGAGGTATAAAAAGATTTCCATGCTGAATGAGTTGTACAATGACCAATAGGATCAGGGAGCCATTTAATTCTATCAACATGCAGAGAGTTGGGATTATAGGATGTCATAGAATTGATAAGTTGCTGCAGCTCTGGAGCACTTGAAGAAGACCATGCCCAGCAGGTACCATTAACAATGGTTTCTACCTTTGTGGTAGATGGCAGATTTGCAAATTCAATGATTCTCTCCGACCATTTAAGAAGAAGAGGCCCATGTGGGTGCCAGTTATCATGCCACAATTGTGTTGATTTACATTACGCTATTATTTAATTGATCTTAATAGTTGGCTTCCTACCACATATACCCAAAGGATAACTTATAAATAGTGAGTTCTACTTTAATTTTAAAAAACGCTATCAAGAATAGGTTCCAAAACGATGGAAGGTAATCAACCATTAAGAAATCTTCATCTTGTGCATATATAATAAAAATCACACAATTACATGGGTGTGTGTCTTTTTCTTACTGATTTTGTCATGGCTCATATGTATGTCCCTTTAAATACTTACATTTTTGTGTGCGTGTTTGAAATGATTTTTTTTACATTGAATATGAATCAAAAGTAAATCTTGAAGACATTGTTTCACTAGTTTTATTTTAACATTTGGTATTTTAATTTTCTTGATGTGCAGATGCTAGTTACTTAACAAATGGATATTTGGAAACCGTCATTGATTGGATACCTAGTATGAAAGGTATACGTTTAAAGGATTTTCCAAGTTTCATAAGAACAACAGACCCAAATGATTTTTTTTTTAAATTTATTTTAAGTGAAATTGAAAAGGCTAAAAAGGCCTCTGCGATAATTTTCAACTCATTCGATGAATTGGAGCATGATGTTATTGATGCTCTTTCATCTATTCTTCCTCCAATTTATTCGGTCGGACCATTGCCTATTCTCCAAAATCATATACAAGATAACGATTTGAAGTTGCTAGGATTAAATCTTTGGAAAGAAGAGTCAGAGTGTCTTCAATGGCTCGACTCAAAAGAACATAAATCCGTGGTGTATGTGAATTTTGGAAGTGTCACTGTCATGACACCAAACCAAATGATTGAATTTGCTTGGGGACTAGCTAATAGCAATCAAAACTTTTTGTGGATAATAAGGTCTGATCTTGTTATTGGTGATTTGGCTGTTCTTCCACCTGAATTTGTGGAGGAGATAAAAGATAGAGGCCTATTAGCAGGGTGGTGCCCACAAGAAAAAGTTCTTGGCCACCCGGCAATTGGAGGATTCTTAACTCATTGTGGATGGAATTCAACTCTTGAAAGCATAAGTGCTGGAGTGCCAATGATATGTTGGCCATTTTTTGCTGATCAACAAACCAATTGTTGGTTTTGCTGCACTCAATGGGGCATTGGCATGGAGATAGAAAATGATGCTACGAGAAATAAAATTGAGAGCTTGGTGAGAGAGCTGATGAATGGAGAGAGAGGCAAAGAGGTGAAGAATAAGGCATTGGATTGGAAGCAAAAGGCTGAAGAGGCTGGTACAGGTTCAGCGTATGTGATTCTAGAGAAAATGATCAACCAAGTGCTTCTCACTCAAAAATATTAGAATTGTACGTCTTCTCGTCAAGTATTGGGAACATGGTTTGGAGCTTTCAATCATCTCTTACCGTCTTACCTTCATTTTACTTGTTTTTTTTATTCTGTGGCAGTGTTGCTTTTCATATTTGTAATAAAGGTTGAGATCAATAGTTTTTTCCTTGTGGCAAATTAATAAACAAATTGCCTATAAATAGGCTAATACATAACTGAAAGCAACATGAAAATAGGAACTATCCAACGTTCAAAACAAACTCCTATTGACTATGTAAACAAACTCTTATTGACAAGGTAAATAGAAACAAACTTACTGACACTCCTAAAGACTAGGACAACCCAAACGTGAAAATTACTAATTTCCTCAACAATCCCTCCCTTAAACTAATGTTGCAAACATAACATTTTGTTTAATAAGAGTCAAACTTTGAAGCGCCATCCCTCAAATTGAATCATTTGAAGTGCAAACACCAAGTAGCTTCTTGAGCTTCTGAAATGCATGAAACTTGAGAAGCTTGGTTAGNATTTATTTTAAGTGAAATTGAAAAGGCTAAAAAGGCCTCTGCGATAATTTTCAACTCATTCGATGAATTGGAGCATGATGTTATTGATGCTCTTTCATCTATTCTTCCTCCAATTTATTCGGTCGGACCATTGCCTATTCTCCAAAATCATATACAAGATAACGATTTGAAGTTGCTAGGATTAAATCTTTGGAAAGAAGAGTCAGAGTGTCTTCAATGGCTCGACTCAANTCCATGTGGGTGCCAGTTATCATGCCACAATTGTGTTGATTTACATTACGCTATTATTTAATTGATCTTAATAGTTGGCTTCCGGTAATCAACCATTAAGAAATCTTCATCTTGTGCATATATAATAAAAATCACACAATTACATGGGTGTGTGTCTTTTTCTTACTGATTTTGTCATGGCTCATATGTATGTCCCTTTAAATACTTACATTTTTGTGTGCGTGTTTGAAATGATTTTTTTTACATTGAATATGAATCAAAAGTAAATCTTGAAGACATTGTTTCACTAGTTTTATTTTAACATTTGGTATTTTAATTTTCTTGATGTGCAGATGCTAGTTACTTAACAAATGGATATTTGGAAACCGTCATTGATTGGATACCTAGTATGAAAGGTATACGTTTAAAGGATTTTCCAAGTTTCATAAGAACAACAGACCCAAATGATTTTTTTTTTAAGTTTATTCTAAGTGAAATTGAAAAGGCTAAAAAGGCCTCTGCGATAATTTTGAACTCATTCGATGAATTGGAGCATGATGTTATTGATGCTCTTTCATCTATTCTTCCTCCAATTTATTCGGTCGGACCATTGCCTATTCTCCAAAATCATATACAAGATAACGATTTGAAGTTGCTAGGATTAAATCTTTGGAAAGAAGAGTCAGAGTGTCTTCAATGGCTCGACTCAAAAGAACATAAATCCGTGGTGTATGTGAATTTTGGAAGTGTCACTGTCATGACACCAAACCAAATGATTGAATTTGCTTGGGGACTAGCTAATAGCAATCAAAACTTTTTGTGGATAATAAGGTCTGATCTTGTTATTGGTGATTTGGCTGTTCTTCCACCTGAATTTGTGGAGGAGATAAAAGATAGAGGCCTATTAGCAGGGTGGTGCCCACAAGAAAAAGTTCTTGGCCACCCGGCAATTGGAGGATTCTTAACTCATTGTGGATGGAATTCAACTCTTGAAAGCATAAGTGCTGGAGTGCCAATGATATGTTGGCCATTTTTTGCTGATCAACAAACCAATTGTTGGTTTTGCTGCACTCAATGGGGCATTGGCATGGAGATAGAAAATGATGCTACGAGAAATAAAATTGAGAGCTTGGTGAGAGAGCTGATGAATGGAGAGAGAGGCAAAGAGGTGAAGAATAAGGCATTGGATTGGAAGCAAAAGGCTGAAGAGGCTGGTACAGGTTCAGCGTATGTGATTCTAGAGAAAATGATCAACCAAGTGCTTCTCACTCAAAAATATTAGAATTGTACGTCTTCTCGTCAAGTATTGGGAACATGGTTTGGAGCTTTCAATCATCTCTTACCGTCTTACCTTCATTTTACTTGTTTTTTTTATTCTGTGGCAGTGTTGCTTTTCATATTTGTAATAAAGGTTGAGATCAATAGTTTTTTCCTTGTGGCAAATTAATAAACAAATTGCCTATAAATAGGCTAATACATAACTGAAAGCAACATGAAAATAGGAACTATCCAACGTTCAAAACAAACTCCTATTGACTATGTAAACAAACTCTTATTGACAAGGTAAATAGAAACAAACTTACTGACACTCCTAAAGACTAGGACAACCCAAACGTGAAAATTACTAATTTCCTCAACAATCCCTCCCTTAAACTAATGTTGCAAACATAACATTTTGTTTAATAAGAGTCAAACTTTGAAGCGCCATCCCTCAAATTGAATCATTTGAAGTGCAAACACCAAGTAGCTTCTTGAGCTTCTGAAATGCATGAAACTTGAGAAGCTTGGTTAGAATATTAGCAATCTGGTCTTCACATCTGCAGTAAAATTAATGACTCCATCATTCGTGAGATCTCTCAAGAAATGGTACTTCACATCTATATGTTTGCTTTGACCATGTAAAACTGGATTTTTTGAAAGCTTTATTGCTGAACTGTTGTCACAATAAATCTGAGTAGGTCCATCCTCCTTGAAATGCAACTCTTTAAGAATTTTCTTTAGCGAAATAGCTTGACAAGCACAAGCTGTTGCAGCAATATATTCTGCTTCAGTGGATGATAATGTGACAATAGGTTGCTTCTTTGATGACCATGAAACAGCTCCTGTCCCCATCATGAAAATATACACAAATGTGCTTTTTCGATCATATGAATCTCCTACATAATCACTATCTATAAACCCAAATAGATATGACTTTTCTCCATTCTTGTAGAACAGCCCAAACTCCTTTAGTACCTTGTAAGTAAAGGAAAATTCTTTTTGCAGCCAAGAGATGAATATCTGTAGGACATTCCATGTACCTGCAAATCACACTTACATCATGCATTATATTAGGTCTTGTTGCTGTCAAATATTTTAAACTCCCAACTATTTGTTTGTAAAGAGTGTCGTCAACCTTCTTTCCTCCATTATCTTTGTTTAGCTTCATACCAAACTCAGGATGGAGTATACAGGATTGCAATCCTTCATCTGAAACCTGTCCAAAATTTCTCGCACATACTTCTTTTGAGAAATAAAAATTCCAATAGAAGACTGCACCACTTCAATGAGAAGAAAATAATGCATCATGCCAAGATTAGACATCTCAAATTCAGTCATCATGGATTTCTTAAAACTTCCAAACATGGCTACGTTATTTCCAGTGTAGATTAAATAATCTACATATAAGTAAACAATGAGCATCTTTCCTCCATCTTCAATCTTTATAAAAAGTGTATGTTCATAAGGACATTTTTGAAATCATTCCTTCAAAAAATAAGTTTCTATAAGATTTTACCAAAGCCCGTTGAGCTTGTTTTAATCCATACAGAGCTTTCTTTAACTTACACACTTTATGCTCATTGCCAAGTTTTACATAACCAGGAGGTTGATCGATAAATACCTCTTCTTTCAAATCTCCATGGAGGAATGTTGATTTCACGTCCAACTAGAAGATAGACCATGAGTTTTGAGCTGCCATCGCAAGCACCAATCTAATTGTATCATGCCTCACAACCGGAGCAAAGACTTCTTTATAATCAACACCAAACTCCTGCTTGTAGCCCTTAGCTACCAAGCGTGCCAGATGCTTGTCAACCTCACGATTCTCCTTCAGTTTTGTCTTGTAAACCCACTTTACACCAATTGTCTTCTGCCCTTTTGGAAGATCACAGAGCTCCCATGTATCATTTCTTTCAATGGCTGTAATTTCAACATCCATAGCCTTTCTCCATTTTCGTTTTTTGACAACCACTTCAAAAATGGTAGGATCACAATTAGAAAATGGAGCAAAATGTGTAAGTGGGTCATCACCTTGGTCAACTCCAGTTACCTCATAATTAGTCATCCATGCTGGTCTTCTTCGAACACGTTGAGGCCTTTGTGATTCAGCTGCAAGTGGGCTTTTATCAGCTATTGGAACATTTTGAGTGGCTTCCTCTTCTTTCTCATTCTCCATAGGTTGCTGCCCTTTCTCATCATCATCAAACACCATTTTGATTCCATGACCAGGTGCCTTTTTCATCAAATGCCACGGCTGATAACAATTTTCATGGTGCTAGGATTGTATAGTTTGTAAGCTTTTGACTTACCACTAACACTAAGAAAAATGCATTTTTCTCCTTTGGTATCTAGCTTCCTCCTATTTTCATCTGGAATATGGGCATAGACAATACACCCAAAAGTCTAGTAATTATCTACAACATGTTTCCTTCCGCTTCATGCTTCCTCTAGTGTCATATTTTGAACAGCAAGTGTGGGACTTCTATTCAATATATGAATGCCCCAATTAATTGCTTCAGGCCAAAAACTTTTGGAATGCCACTTGTTGTCAAAAGACTTCGCACCATATTCATAATAGTGCGATTCTTCCTCTCACATACACCATTCTGTTGGGGTGTATAAGCTACTGTAAGTTGTCTCTTGATTCCATGGTTCTCACAAAAATTTGCAAATTCATGTGAATTATATTCTCCACCGCAATTCGTGTGAAGAAGTTTTATTGGGTTGCTAACTTCTTTCTCAACAAGCGCTTTGTAGATTTTAAAAGCTACAAACACTTTAGATTTTTCTTGTAAAAAATAAACCCATATCTTACGACTATAATCATCAATGAAAGTAATTATATATCTTTTACCTCCATTAGAATGTGGTGTTATTTGGCCCACAATGTCGGAATGAACAAGCTACAATGCTTTCTTCGCTCTCCAAGATTTTCCTTGTGGGAATTGATTACGGTGTTGTGTGCTAACAACAAATTCTTCACAAACTTGAGAAGAAGCTGTAATTTGAGAAAGCCCCGTTACCATGTTCTTTTGTTGTAGTGTTTTCAATGCCCCAAAATTCACATGCCCATAGTGAAAGTGTCATAGCCATGCCTGATCTTTTAATTTTGCTGAGAAGCATGAATGAGTGGTGTTGTGGAGATAAAGTGGGAACATACGATTCACTGTCATGTTAACTTGAGCAATTAAGCCCAANGCCAAAATTCACATGCCCATAGTGAAAGTGCCATAGCCATGCCTAATCTTTTAATTTTGCTGAGATAAAGTGGGAACATACGATTCACTGTCATGTTAACTTGAGCAATTAAGCCCAACTTTACGTCTTGAATCTGACATACTCCATATTTGATAAAAATCTTGTATCCTTTTTCTTGTAACTGACCCACACTAAGCAAGTTGGTCTTTAAATCCGGCACAAAAAACATTAGTGATAGTGTGGGAGGAATTTCCTTTGGTTTGGATTGTTACCTTTCCTTTTCTCATAACAGAAATTGTGGAGTTGTCACCGAACTTAACAGAGCTGCAAAAGGATTCATCCAAGTTAGAAAATGCCTCCTTCTCTCCACTCATGTGGTTGCTGTAGCCAATGTCTAAATACCACATGTTTTGTTGAGTTTCTTCTTTCACATGACACACCATCAAAAGAGACACCTCTTCTTCATTTTCTGCAAAATTAGTTTGATCTCCACTTTGTTTATTCAAATCAGTTTGACATTCTGATTTACCTATGACATCTGAAACATTCAACATTGGACTTGTCTGCTGACTTTGATCTTTAAGTTGTTGAGTGGTGGCCTCCACGTCCTCTGCCTCTTCCTTGAAGTTGACTCTCTTGATGATGATGATTTTGTTGTTGGTTCCCACGATCATTATTGTTTCTACCTCCTCTACCTCGACCTCTGCCTCTTCCTTGTCCTCTATCAGCTCTACTGGGTGCATAGTGATTTTCTGATAAGGCCTTCAATGCTTGTTCTTCATTTTCCTGTTGGTTAATTTTTTGCTCATTAACCAACAAAGAACTTTGTAATTCATCAATTGATAGTAAACTAACATCATTAGCTTTTTCTATAGCACAGACAACAAAATTAAATTTTGGTGTCAAGGATCGAAGAATCTTCTCAACAATGAGAACATCCTCTGTCTTGTCGCCATGGATCTCCATCTTGTTAACAATTGCCATCATTCTTGAAAAATAGTCTATAACTGATTCTCCTGACTTCATTTGAAGCATTTTGAACTCCGAATGAAGTGCTTGAAGCTTCTGCTTCTTAGCCTTTGTTGTACCTTGGTACTTCTTCTTCATGGAATCACAAATATGCCTGGCAGTTTCCTTGCAAAGAATGGTTTCCAAGATTGAGCAATCAATAGCTTGGAAGAGATAATTCTTTGCTTTAAGATCCTTTTACTTCAGTCCTTGAAGCTCTTTCTTTTGTGTATCTGTCAGCACAACACCTGTTGCTGTTTCTGCTACTCCAAAAACAACAACCGTCCAATATTGTTTGGACCTTAAGAAGTTCTTCATGAGCATGCTCCAATGATCATAGTGATCATCAAAGCGTGGAATGGTTGGTTGTACATAATAACAGTAGGAAGCAAAGGATATAGAGAAAGTAGAGGATAAACTTTTCTATTTTTCATTGATAAACAAACAGCCTATAAATATGCTAATACATAACTGAAAGCAACATGAAAATAGGAACTATCCGACGTTCAAAACAAACTCCTATTGACTATGTAAAAACAGACAGCTATTGACTAGATAAACAGAAACAAACTTACTGACACTCCTAAAGACTAGGACAACCCAGGACAACCCAAACATGGAAATTACTAATTTCCTCAACATGCGTGCACTAATATATTAGTCATGACTATAACATCTTGAAGCATAAGTGACCTAGCAAGGCCCAATTGAGATTACAACAAATTTCCAAAAATTCTATTTGGTCACGTGATTATGATTAAAACACCGGATTACACAATTACCTATACACCACGCATATTGGGTAATTTTAAGTTC